AGGAGGGGCTCGCGATCGGCGACAACTCGCGTGCTAGTTCAAATATTCTGCTGCTGCTGTGTTCTGAGTGGTGGGAGGAGGAGAGTGGTGGGGCATTTTTTTCTACTTCTTCATTCATTAACGCATACCGAGTGCTGACACCAACGATTCGCATCAACAACATCGCATCAACAACATTTCGGGTGCGTGTACCAAAACAAAAGCAACACATATTCACGGGGGGCGCACGACCCGGCCTACTGCAGGTACTTTCCGCAGCACGGGTTATGCTGTTGTGATGGTGCGCGCGGAAAAAACTCCCCCCACTCGGGGTCTAGTATCACACAACACATCCATCTCTTTTTGTGCACTCGGTGCTCGGTGCAATCCAGTCTCAAGGAGATTGAACTACTGAAATCAGCATTTCTAAGTGTTGAGATGGGACGATCTCCCCCCGCTGCTCTCACTCCTAATCCTGTGTACGTACTCCAGCTTCTCCCGACCTCGTGCAGGCCACAATTGATTATTGTGGGTTGTTGAGGGGGAACATTTACTTACAGCAGTAGAGGTGGCAGTAGTGGCATGTCATCTGCAAGATTACGTTGTCATGTATTCAACATACGTAGCTAATGCAACATCATATGTGTCTCTTCTTCGGAGAGTCAGCAATGCGAAAAGCCGCTGCCCAGACATTTGCAGGTGTCAGCCTTCACCGCCACGCGGCGCACACTGGGCGAAATATTGTTACGACCAGCTGGTTGTGACTGTTCCAACGGGCATGCTCCGTGGTCTGCAGCAGCGTATGCGTAGGGCAAGTTTATCCCCTCTGACAACAATATCTCGAACGTCGGTGATGCTTCTTCTCTAGACTAGCCTATATCTGAAAGCATTGGTCTCTTTTGTATGCAGTCGAAGGGAAGCTTCTCTATGCGTTGAAACGTCTGCTTTCTACGATATTGTCCCGCCGAAACCTTGCACAAAAAAAACGAATTCGTACGCAACATCGCTTTAGATACAGCATGAGAATCGACCAAGTCACAATCTCTCTTGGTTGGGCATCCGATCCACCAATTTAACTGAAAGAACAACTTTCCGTACTGGCCTCCATTGACTCGTGGCGTCGTGTTGGCCTGGCACCGGCATCGCCCACAGCCCCGTGGATGGATGATTGCACACATTATCGTCTGGTGAACTCCTGTGTCGATCACTTTCTTGAAGTCCTCGGGCCTCGACTGGACCGTTGGGCACAGACCAAGGCCAGGCGTTGGAAAGACAATGTCGAAGATGAACAAGTAATCGAGGACGAGGGCCATGCACATTGGCAGGCGAGAACACGCAACAGATTCAAACTGGCGTGCGTTTATGTGCTACCATCTTCGTGTACGGAATTCGGCACTGCTTGCGATTCTGCCTTTGGTACAGTAGTCTGGGGATATGATCGTGTGCGTACAAAGTGCGTTGTATATGTGCCGTTTTCGTTTGGAGCAAATAGTCTATCGCTTTCCCATTTCATGCAAGAAAGCATTGTGGAGAGCGTGTACCTCCCCTCTCTGTTACCTTGTCCGCAGTTCGATATCTTCTACTTGGAGCTCGGTTGTAGGAATGGAAGTGTTGTGTATCATAATGCTGCGACTCAATCGAGTTCGTGAGCAAACTCGAGACGGAGAACCTCATGAAGAGGCACAGCGGCGACAATACTATCGTGAGCATGAAGGTGTGATTCTGGGCTACAAGTAAAAGGGGCGAGGCTATGTGCTTGGTGGGTCTACACATCCTGGGACTGCACGCGAGGAAGCTTACGTCTTGCCACCGAATGAAAGAGTCCAAAATTTAGTCTAATTACTCTGCCACGATTGACATGAAGTGTAGACTAGAGATGAAGTCCACTTCACTTCTCTTGTATTTCACTGCCATCGCCCGTCTTCCGTTGGACTCGCCATGATGAACGTTTCTTACCGCACCCGCGTTTAGACTACACTCTTTTGCAAATACCGCGTGAGGTTCGCTGTGAGCCTCAGTATTTGAAAGTGGCAAATATTCTTCGTTGAACGAGATTCCGTTTCTTCACAGGTGGACGCTACCCCCCCCTTTGGCAAGGTCCCACAACGTCCAAGGG